CAAAAGGCAATCTTACTTTGACAACTTGTGCACCTAGGTTGATCATTTAAGGATAATACCATAAAACACTAGGATTATAGCAAACTAAGCATCAGTAACAATGTGTTTAGTTTTTCTTTGACGACTGCAAGATCAAGTTGTATCATATCATGTGCTTGGACGTGGATAACATTGTCATCAATTGGCCAAAAATATTTTTAATTTCATGAGATTGATTTTTGAACGTCCATAATATTTATTTTCCATAAATTTGTCGAGCACCACGGGGGAAGGAAGTCAGTCATTCCCTGTATATGTCACCAGATTTGGGGAATGGAGGAAGTCGTAATTCCCATCCACGAGCTCTACGACACCTTGAGCACATATCGATTTGAAGGATTGTTCGCAATGAAGCCACAGCATCTAACCGTCGTGTCCGTGGGAATGGAATATCAGGCCATACCATGGCGTGGAGATCTAGGTCACAACACAGGCAACGATTTAGGTTGTGGGGCTGTTACTTTCCCGGGAAGGTACTTCCAACAGCACCAAACAACCTTTGCCGATCGAGCAACATTTTCAGAGTTGTTGCGCTTCCTGTCACCAGCGTCATGACCTGGCTTGACGGATGAGTCAAGGGCAACGATGACTTGGACGACGACGGCGTACTTTGCGACTGCTTTTGTCTCAAACGCTCTCATTTGACCCTTTGAAGCAAGTCGAGTGGGGTTGTCGATTCAACGCCGACTCCGGTGCCCGCGCAGAACCCCCGCTTCTTCAGTCCATGGTAGCTGTGACCATCGTGTAGCTATCGGCACCTGATTGGTTGTTCTCCATCCAATCACATTCGAGAGATCCAAATATTGCGCGCGATTTCATGACAATACGGATAATGACGCCGTTTGACCTATTTTGGCTCGGGTATTATCCGGAATCAACATGATTTAAATAACAATTGCAAAGCGGCATACAAACATCTAGCTCAATGCTGTAAATTATTATGCTCGTGCTTTCCCGCCTATCTCATGAAAGTATACAATTTTTCATATAGAATGCTCGATTCCATTGCAGGTCATCACAAGGATTTCAGTCCATACTCGGCAACAGGCCCGCGCCACGGCGGTCGACGGAAGGGATGTCGCATGGAACAGGGCAAGATTTCGCGATGAATTCGTGTTTGATGTCTATGCAAGGGAGCGACGTGGAGCGGGCAGGAGAAGACGACGACTGCCTCGATTTTCGCTCCATGTTTGCTTCTCCAGGCAAGGGGACAAACGCTGCGTTCGGATCCACCATGCTCCCCGAGCACGAATTGGAACATTCTCCTGTTCGTCAACCATCAAGTGCTGATGGAAGTGGCAAGATGTTCTCACCATTGCGTGTTATTTATTCCCCATCCAAGTTCTTTCGGAGTCCGGTCATGGGAAAGGATTCCGTGTCGTCGTATGCCTTGACAACTCCCGTGATGCTAAAGAAGAAGCGACCGAAAAAGCAAGAAGGAGGGACGAACACAAACCTGCCGCCATCAGCAGAAAAAGCGGGGCCACTGGCAAGTCCGTTCTCAGGATGGAAAGTCGAACAGGGCGAGAAGTACAGGTTCATCCTCTCACCGTTGCCCTCAGTCGTTGCTACACCAATCACCACCAACGATGATGACAATCGAAGTTTCCTTACGTTTGCACAGTCGTTGCCCGCAATAACAGACCTCAACAACCTAGACTCGTCGCCATCCGTCACGGTGTCTCCTCTCACGCCCGAGCCGCCACTCGCAAAACTGTACGACTCTGCCATTTTCTCTCGTATTCCATGACTTACTTGGTGCAGTGAACCTGGTTGTTGTTACGGAAAGGATCGGACTCCCGATACTGACACCGAGTGTCCTGCTCGTGTTGTAACACAGAGACTCGAGTTCACGGACTCGCCATCGACAGCGTGTTACGAGGCTGCTGCGGCGTTTCCCAATATCCAGACATTGACGAGCGCTGCTCCAGGACGAAGCCATCGAACGACGGATGGTGGTAGGAAGTCTGTTACGTTGCAGTTCACCCAGCACACCGCGGGGGGACGGGCGACAACAATTAAGTCGATCAACGAGTCCATGTATGCCTCATCGTGTAGTAACTCCTTGCCTAAATGTAAGTATCTTCATAGGCGAAAGGAAAAATCCAAGCCCAACAAAAACGCCAAGGCGTTCAAGGCCCTGTGTTTAATCGATACGCCCGATGCAACACCGCCGCCACGGGTTACGTTGTCGAGAAAGCACAAACTTCTTGACCACGGCCCCTTAACTCTCCACACACCACTGGAATCGAAAGCAGCCATGAGCTTCATCACTCCTGGATCCATCGCTACTTCCGACGAGGTGATGCGAAAGAAGCCACGATTAGACAGCGTCGGCCTTCCGTCGAGGTTGGAATCACCGGGTGTCGACCTCAGACAGACCAGCACCACTGGAAGCGCGAGTAGTGTCATTTCGTCGACGCCACTTGTGGCTAGCAATGGCAGTGGGGGGCTGCATGGCCCCACGACAAACACGCCCAAGAAGCGAAATCCATGCAATTGCAAGAAGTCCCAGTGCCTCAAGCTGTACTGTGAATGCTTTGCGTCCGGCGGGTATTGTGATGAAAATTGCAAGTGCGTCGGGTGCCACAATATTCCCAAGTTTGAAGCACAGCGCAAGGACGCGATCGCGGTCACGTTGGAGCGAAACCCGAACGCGTTCAAACCCAAGATCAATCATGCACTGTCCGACGATCTCAAGCACAACAGTTGCCATTACCATCCCAACTCAACGGGTGGTAGCGCAAAGGCCCTTGTCAAGACACACCACCACGGCTGCCACTGCAAAAAGTCGTTTTGCCAGAAAAAGTACTGCGAGTGCTTTCAAGCAGGGGTCCCGTGCGGCGAAAACTGCAAATGCATCGTATGTCCATCGGTTTTATCTGATGGATGGAATTTCACTCACGTTGGGGAATGAATACCTTTAGGATTGCAAAAACCAGGGAGGCTCATGTGCCAAACCAGGCCACAACGGACCAGCGGCAGGCACACCGTTGCCAGTGATTGTGGCCACACAGTCCAAACTGCAGCAACCCATCACGTCCTTGACAATGTCAGACACCAACCAACCGCTCACGCCGTCGTTTGGGGACTTTCGAACCACCATTCTGCGACAGGTATACACACCGCCGGCTCTGTGCTCTCACACATCGATGCCATCGACACTAACTTGAATCGTGCAGCAGGACAAGTCCAAAATCACAGAATCCACGGCCAAGCGAAAACTGATCGTGTATCCGTTGTTTGGCGCATCCCAGCCACCCCTGCAAAAAGACATCGCTGTGCACATCTTGCAGCACCTGGATGGGCCGGATATTTACAACGCCAGCATCGTGAACCGACTGTGGAATGGCATGACGATGAGCGAAGACATTTGGGACTATTCGCAGCTGGATAAAGTACCATAGACACGACCACGTCCGTCGAAGTCTTTCTGGCAACATGCATGTGTGCAATGGGGGCAACTATGCGTCGACACTGGGGAATGTATTCAACATGTTAGAGCTGGTTACTTTTGCAGCGCAGGTACACGCACGGGGTTGTCCAGCGACACATTCTGCAATCGAACGGTGCCAAGGATGGTTTCCGGGAGCTCTTCCTCGGCTTGGGACTCGAGAAGGAATGCAAGATCGACGACAAGCACCTTGGTCACGCCCTTGACCATCCCGACAACGGTGTTTGCGACGCTGTTAGACGAAATGTCAATGTCAACTTCGAAGTAGTTGGCTCCGCGATGGTACGGGCACGACAGTTTATTCCCGAGCAGCGTCGGGACCGACCCGACCGCTTGCTTGACGATAAATGTCCCTTCCACGACGGTCGGAATCAGCTTGAACCGCGAGTTTCGGAACGCGTCGTCGCCGTCCAAAAAGTCGTTGAGGAGGTCCGAGAACGGCGAGTTTTCGTCAAAGATCGTGGGTGAGTCCGGTTGAAAGTAAAACACCTGAATAGTTCACCCATCAAGTTCACAACCAAGCGGTGGAACATCACGTTACCATGCTCAAGTTGTTCGGGCTTGGGATGATCATGTTGACGACGAAGGTAAAGCCAGTCGCCGACTGAACATGCGACCCCGGGCGGCTGGCAAGATTGTAGCGCTCTTTTTCGTTGTCAAACGCAAACAAGTCCACGCCGACGAGACGAAAGCGCGACTTTTTCGACGGCGTCTTCTTCTTGTCTACCAAGTAGTTGGGGCCACGAACGGCGAAGCGGGATGCATCCGGTTCAGACCACATCTACTCGATCATATCCCGACGACGACAGTGAACAGTCTGCATGGACCGTGATGATGGCACCTTGTCAGGAAGCGAAGTCTTGAGCTTCTGCACAACGTGTGGGGTAGCGCTGGTCCCGCTGCCGCCGTCGACACGGCTGGCCTCGGACGAATCCGCCACCGTCACACTCGGTGTAATGAAGTCGCCAGCGCTAAGTTCATCCCGCATGCCGACAATCGACCGCAGCATCGGTAACACCGCATCGACGTCCATGCCCAGTTGATGGTAGATATTTGAGTTGCCCTTGGGATCGTACCGCAGGACGTACGTCACCAACGATCGGACACCTCCATGGATGGACGACTTTTGCGGCGCAATCACGTAGCCTCCACCTGCACGACATGGTCAGCGCGCCTGGATCGAGTGACCCACGTACCGAGGATGCTCGCACGAACAAAATTGTGGCGCACGCGGCATTCAGGATGCGTCGTCGATTGATACATGACAAAGTACGACCCGTCTTCTTCGCGGCGCCAGTACCGCATGAGGACGAGGTCGCGGGGCTTTTGCCACATTGGCCAAATATACACCGGGCGCAGCTGGACATAGATGATATCCGAGTGGTCGTCCATGGCTTGGATCACTCTGACGGACGCCACCGACGAGTCCCATCTACGACATGCATCAGGAAAAGCGCGTCCCAGCAGCACGTGTGTCGTTGGTCCAAACACCAATGGGACATGACAACCAGTTCAACGCTAGAGGACGCACGAACCGTTGGTAGCGACTCGTATTCATGATCAAGCGGAACACGTCGGACGGCGGGCCATGCACGACTTGCGATACACGAAGGCTTGGGATTTCAATCGCAGACTTGGGCATGAGTGTCACGCCGCAGACCTTTGATCGATACGATGTGAAAACAATGAAGCAAATGGTCCGACGCACCACGACGGCGGCAAACGCAGTTCCAAAGCATACGAGCATGTTGGCCACCATCGAGTGCATCACGCTGAACGCCACGATCGCGCTGATCGTGGACGCAAAGAGCAAGTTGTTCGTCAAGTTGGCATGGTGGGCATACATGGAAGCGGCGACTTGGTGGCCCAAGGGACACTCCTGCATGATGCGAAGTCCTTCCTCGACGCGCACAAGCCACCACCCTACGTCCGCCGACATGAGGTCGTCGGGGTGATGGAGACTACACGCGTTCACCTTGCTCAGCCTTGACGTTATCTGTGTCCAAGTTGAACAGCGACACGTTGTCGGTGTCGAGGATCGAAGCGTTGTATCCCTCGGGAACTTTGCCAACGTCTGCTCCCTTGAGAAAATCCTCTTTGACGCCTGCCACCTCCTTGATGGCCGAGATCGTCTGCTCGAGCGCTTTCTTCCATGCTTCAGCCATCTTTTCGTCCTTCGCCCCGAGATCGATGAATCGGTCCTTCTTGTACGATTTTTCGCCTGCCCCCACGGAAAACGTGATGCGGAACATCCAAACTTGGTCATGGTGCTTGTGCTTCTCTTCAGAGTTGAACACCTTGCCCACGATGCACTCGTTCGTCAACACATACGTTCCGCGCGGCGTTGGGTCTCCTCGCTTCTTGTAGTAGCGGAGGTTGCTGCCTTCAAGGATGAAGTAGCGTTCGGCTACGAAAATTTTCAACACCTAGATATCTCACGAGCGAAGTACTCGGTGTCCAAGCACTCCTGCTGACACACATCAAGCAGACGTACTCCAGATGATGTTCATATGGTCCCGGCGCTTCGTCAACCATCCTTCCATCGTGCTTGCGTCTCGGCAGCGCTACGTCCTCCGACACCGAAATACTTTTACGCTGCACAGGTTCCTGCACAACAGACGTGTGTAATTTTATTTCCAACAACTGGGAATTTGTATGTAATGTTTTAAAACCTTTTCCTTTTTTACTCACAACGTGGCAAGACGCGAGAGGCAGCGGCGAGCTCTCGGACACGGCCCCCGCCATGAGCCACAAGAACGAAGGCATCTCTAGAGAGGCGTCGATCTATCAACCCTCTGTACTTTTCCCTCTCGTACAATATAGTCTCTCGCCTTCGACGCACCGCCGTCGGGTTCTCGACGTACTATCCGGGAAAGCCTCCTCCATTGCCGCGGACTTCACGCCACCAAGCAGAAACGAACGACTCATCATCGCATGGAGACACAACATAGTTGGACCGTTCGATTAGGTTGAGTCTTCCTGACCTTCGTCGGGCTCACTCGACCATACTCGACTTCTATTTGAATTCGTCGACCTCTTTGCAGCGGATTTCTTTACATCGCCGTGGACGTCAACCGTCACTGAAGCATCACCCACGTGGAATGTCCATGCACCTGGAACGAGATGCTTGACTCCATCTTTGCTTGCGAGCATAAAGACAGTGGCTGGATCGAGAGCGAATTGCCACGTGTGGTCGTCGCCAGGTCGGAGGCCGTTCACGCGCTCAAACCCCACGAGGGTCTGCAGAGGTCTACCCATGGTACCGGCGCGCGGTGGGGCAGCAAAGCAGAGCAACGAGACGTCACCGACCAATTCCCCAACGTTCTCCACCGTCACTCGCAGTCGCACGGCGCCAGTGCCGTCGCACTCATCACAAGTGATCGAGTAATGAAACACGGTGTACGACAGCCCGTGACCAAACGGGTACACCGGGGCACCCATGTAAAACCGATGCGTCCGCCCCAAGGAAGTCGAATGCGGTCGCATGTGCATGTCGGAGATGGAGACTTCCGACGTAAACGATGCGCGGTAGAACGTGTGTGCGAGTCGGCCAGATGGGTTCACGTCACCAAACAGAACCTACACGTCGCCTTCATCAGGCCAGCCCCCTCCTTCATTCACAGCGCCAACTACCTGAGCAATGGCGGTCCCGCCGCTTTGGCCAAGATATCCGGCGTATACGATCGCGCCGACATTGGAGTGCACTTCAAACTCCGCGAGGTCCACAGGACCGCCCGAGACCAGGACGAGGACAATGGGTCGCATTGCCACTGCCGCCACTCGCGCAATCAACTCGCGTTGTCGGCCAGGCCATTCCAACGTCGCACGATCGATTCCTTCGCTTTCAATGCTTTGGTCCATCCCAACAACGAGCACGACGTGGGCTGCCTTGGCGGCAATGGCAATTGCACCTTCCGCCAACTCCTCCCCTCCGACGGTGCATGCGGCATGGACATCCACGAACGACGAAGGCACATGCGTGGCGGTCACACCTTCAAAGGGCGACACGATGAACGGAGGAACTCCTGCGTAGCTGCCAAGTTGAGCTGTCGTTGCATGAACATGCGGCCCGAGGAGCGCTAATCGGTTGCCGGCGTCGACCGCGTCCTTGTCCAACGGTAACGTTTTGCCAACGTTCTTCAGCAGCACAATACTCTGAGTCGCAGCATCGAGCGCCAGCTGCCGATGAGCTGGTGTATCAATATCTGCCGGTGAGCTGTCTCGAAAGGGCGCGGTCGCAGTGGCTTCAAACAGCCCAAGGCGCATTTGCGTTCGGAACAAGTTCCTCAGCGCACGCTTCCATGCTGCTTTATCCACCTACCACGTTGAGACTGTAAGCAGCGTAGTAGCGGCGAGCACAAGCGAGCTCATGTCAGAAATGGATCGCCGAGCGGTCCGGGCCACCGCCGCGACCACCCGCGTGCATTGTTGCAGCATTCGGATGGATGGTCCATCGGTTCGACAATCGAATGTTCGTGAATGCTTTCTTACGTGGTCGATGGCGTGCGGGAGGTTGAGCTGGACGAAGTCGCCGCAATTGAGATCCATGCCAGCCTCGAGCGTCGCGGCGCAGGTTTCCGCAGCCGTGTGCGTGTATCGGTGATGCCACAACACGTCGTACACTGCGCCGCAGTCTGAAATGATGTATCCGTCAAAGTTCCACCGATTCCGCACGACGTGCGTGAGGAAGTGTCGATCGGCGCAAGATGGAACGCCGTTCACTGCGTTGTAGCTACACATGACGCATGACGCACCACCGCGCGACACGCATGCTTCAAAAGCGACCAAGTAAGTGTCTTCGAGATCTTGAGCAGTCACGATTGCGTCCAACGAGTGCCGAGGCACCTCTTGCGAGTACCCTGAAAAGTGCTTGCAGCATGCTGACACGTGGAGAAAGGATGCGTTCCATGGTGATGTAGCATTGGGTCTATTTTGCATGCCGCTGACAAATGCGACAGCGTATTCAGCGGTCAAGAAGGGGTCTTCGCCGGGGGTTTCTTGCCCGCGACCCCATCGAGGATCGCGATACAGGTTGATGTTGGGTGCCCAGTAAGTCAAGCCACCATGCCCAACGCTGTGAAATGCTCTAGGATGATGGGTAAATGGAGCAGATAGGGTAGAAGTCTGGCCAGAGACCTTGCTTCTGTGGAAATGGCAGCACCTACTGCGGCAAACAGATCACGATTGAACGACGACGCAAGATTAAGAATTTGAGGATAGCTCGTCGCGACGGGCGTTGGAGCTGTGAAGCGTACCGACGGTGAGATACCAACGCCATGCAAGCCTTCGCTCCACCACCCGTACGAGGGCAGATCTACTCACGTATCATGGACATGAGAGCACACGAAAGGTGGGACGGATGTACCAAGGGCGCCTGGGATGGAGATGAATGTAGCATTGTCACCAAGAAGGCCAGGCACAGCAGCTTCAGGAATGCGTGCCACAAGGTCCTCCACACGTTCGTCCAGCGACAACGACGGGTTGCAAAAAGGAAGCATCTTTTGCACGTCACGATCGCATATCCGCATCTGCTACCGTGTTCGCATTAGGAGGAGCATGTCGAGTAATGGGGTATCGTGCTATACCGAGGCAGCTGTGGCGTAGTGAAGACTGATAAGCTGAAGCGCCGACACCCACGCAGCGCCCATCTTCAATGACTGTCCCCTCTGTTCTGGGAAGATCGCAAATACAGTCCCCGCACCATGACAATCCTCTATAATTCGATGCATGACTTATGCATACATGGGGGTAATGCCGCTGCTCGGACGACAGAGC